GAGAAGGGGCTTGTCTAAAGTTAGGCAAGGTGAAGGGAATGTTAAAGCCATCTTGGCCTTACAAAGGCCAAAGAACAGAGAACAATTGATAAGGAGAACAATTGATAAGGAAGTTTGACAAATGCAAGCCATTGTAGCATTTAGGTGTTAAACATTTATTCTGAGCTCATTACCACAGCAGCAGAAGCTGGAAGAAACAGAAAGAGATGAAATTAAAGAAGCAGAAAGAAATGAAATTAAAGAAGCATGGGCTCACAGATAAGCAGAAAAAGACTAGCCTTATATAAAAAACTGGGTGGCCACCTGCTTTGATTTAAGAAATTCTGGACAAGTTGCCCTTAACCAGAAATTCTCTTTGCCTAACTATCAGTTTATTTAGTACCTTGGATTAAAGCTGAAAGATCTGTAGTTAAACGTAAATGTCATCCTCACCTTGGCCTTTTCAGCCATCAAATAAGTTTATCAGCTCAAATAAGTTTATCAGACTGAAAGCAGAATAAATTGTGTGTTCTTGGAATCAAACTCTCCTTGTCTTCTGTTTTTCTACTCTCAGAGCACATTTAACTCTGCCTTGTGTGATAGTGAACATGACCACGCCACTCGCTAAGTGAACTCCTTTTTAGGGACAGACCCTGGACACGTCCCTTCAAATCCATTCACCTTTGATGCTGAGTCAATGTTTGTTTAAAAGCACACTTTTTTTATTTTTTGTAAAAATGGCACAGTGGATAGATTTTAATGGGAGGGGAGTGATTGGAAAACACTCTCTGAGAACATGAAAGGCTGCGTAACAAGATAAGGAAGGTCTTTGGGAGAAAGCAGAGTGCTGCCCCTGGCCTCTAAGCAGAGGAGAGACCTGAGATTTAAGGGGGGCAAATAGAGCTACTCAGCAAACACTGCTGACTTGTTTGAAGTCCTTCTTCAGAGTGTTGCCTGTGATTGGAATGGAGCCTAGGGTAGGCTTTTGAAATGTGTACCATGAGTTTTAAGAACACTGATTTCAAAAATTCAGAAAACTGGCACCAAAATAAGTGACAAATGGCCCATCCCCCATGGGCCATGGCAGATACAGTGACTATTTTGACTTGCTTCTTCATTTCTCATGCTCCTCCTTCTGTTTAAAATGTTAGTATCATTGACCATCCTGGAAACTCTCATGTCATCACCCTAGCCTGGTCTCCTGCTTTTTCTGGCCACTCTGCTTCTCTTTTTCTGTCTCTCAGTACCTTCCAGACACTAAAGTCATATTTACAAAAGTTTTGTTTTTGACATTTCTTTCCATATACAATTTTTCTTACTCCCAGAGCTTTACCTTTATTGTTATGGCTCTCAAGTGTTCAAGGAGCCCCCCAAAACCACCTCCCATATTTTCATGAGCCAGTGTATTGAGAATAGTAAGCGTATAAATTTAACATCACTTCCAGCCCTGCCCACTTGTTGTCAAGCCTTCTAGGCATGAAGCAGCCGGTGACGGGGGGCTCTTTATTAGCTCCACCAACAGTGACCATCACAGAGAAGCTGATGTCCTTGCCCAGGCCACTGCCTCCCAGCGTTCCCAAAGCCATGCAATCTTTGAACAACTACCAAACTGCCGGGCACTCTTCAGAAGTGTAGAGGGAGTTCCTGTTCCTAATTTTGTACCTCATTTTGTCACCTAGAATGTAGAACAGCCCTACTTGTGTAAACAGTCTCCTCTTGGAAAAATATTCCCACTCTTGGCCCAGTCAAGCACACTACTACATTTGATATATTTATTGATAATTTCTGGAATATATTACGGCTCTAGTCAAGAGCTCCATTTCCATATATCCAGCTGCTCACTGGATATCTCCAGGTGGACATCACACAGGCAACTCAAACACTTTAGTCCAAAACTGAACTCTGTCTTCACCCATCTACAAACCTGTTCCTCCCTGTTTGTACCTTAGCTCAGTGAAGGACACTCCATCCCATTCAGTTGCCTAAGGTAGAAATCATTTTTTACCCCCAAACTCCTTTACCTCCCTCCCAATTTCTCTCTCTGTTTCTCTCTCTCTCTCTTTCACACACACATACACACACACACGGTCAATCAAGCACGGCAGAGAGTTCAAACACAGAGTTCAGAGCCTTCACTTTTATTCTGTAAATATTTGTTGAGTGAATTTTTAAATGGCATGAGATATTTAAGAATCTAAATGACTATGCTGAAGGTTTTAGAATGAACCATCAAAACATAGAAGTCATAAAACACAAGAATTATGTCAAAATGTTTAGAGTAAGCTAAAGTCAAAAATTAGGTAAGTCTGGTTGGTTGAGTGGATTAATAAATTAATGAGAAAAAAGTAGAAGGAAGGAAATGAGGGAGTGAGAGAGAGGGAGGGAGGAAAGGACGAAAGGAGGGGGCAAGGGAGGAAAGAGAATCTTGAAAAGAAGAGCTAAAGAAAGGAAACACAGGATTTGCAACTAATAAAAGAGTGAGAGCAATCATTCATATTCATTACTTTATTCAAACTATGACATGGGTATAAGAGGATTCCGGAGACGGTGCAAACACCCCAAGTTACCTCAAATGAACTAGTTTTAAATGTTTTATGATGAAAAGTTTCCAATATATACAGAAGTAGAAAAAATAGTATGTATCTCTACCTTTAATTTAAGAACAAGGATTGCTCTACTGACTTTATTTCCTTACTCATTTGTTTAAATTCCATCTTTTTAATAAAGGAATTAAGTCAGCAAATTTCACTTTTTACTAAAATTACCAGACCACTAGATCAGGAAAATAGCATCAGATAAAAATTAACCTGAATTTCAGCAAGATATTGACAAAGGCTCTTAGACTGTGCATGTGTTGGAGCAATGTGGGCTGGGTCACCAGACAGGTAGATAAATAGGCAGTGCCGTGACCATACGTAGAAAAACAATTAATGGATCAGTCAACTTGGAGAAACGCCTCTACTGGTATAGAGGAAGGCTGTATTTGTGGCCCTGTTCAGGTCCTTAGTTTTATAATCGATGACTTGGATGAAGACATAGAAGACATGCAACTAACTCCAAAGTAAGCTTTGGATTTATAAACTTTCAAGAGAAACCACACATATAAAATTGAGTTAAGTTCATGGTTTGTTGGGGCAGAGAAAAAGAAATTTATTTCAAACAAGGAAGATAAACAGAGCAAAAAGCATACACAGCATATCTCAGCTCAGCTTCCATTGGTCCCTTTATGGATGGATCCTGCAGCTACCATTTACCTTGTCTCTGCAAGGTAGTGTGCTGCCGTATCTGCAAAGCTAAATTTTATTGCTCACCACATCCCCTTTAATATTCAGGGCTTAAATCATCAGCCAAGAAGAACTTACATACATAGGAAACATTTACAGACTCCTTCCTGCTTCTAGAACAAAGCACTGGGTCAGTTAAGTCCACTTAGGACAGGAGAGAGCAGTCAGTGCCCTCCTGTTCCAAGGAGGAACATCCCTGCATCCCTCTTAAATACATTTTGTAGAGGTGTACCTTTGCCAAATTGCCCCCAGGACCTCTATCAGAGGGAGATGCAGAGCTACCAGGGTTGCTGTTCTCAGAGGGTAAGTTCTTGCTGGAACTAAGAAACTTAACTGTGTGGTACATCACAGTTCTTTTATATCTGCAGCTTAAATCATTATTCTTGAAGAATTTACACGAATCATCTATGCCCATAATATTTTCTTTTAAGGGATTATTTATAGATATTAAGACTTTCCTGATGGTTGAGCCAAACTCAGCATCAATAAAAGTACATTCTCATCCAGGGGACAAGGCGGATTTAGCATTCAGGTATTTCCGATCACCTCTCTGTCTCTGATTATCTGGCATCCCAGGGAGCTCATTTCCCACATGAGCCTCCCAGATTTACAGAGGCCATCAGACTGGGAAGGATTTTTGAAATGAAATTCCAGTGACAAAATAAGAATCTTAAAAGATATCAGAAAGGTTCAAAGCATGAGCTAAAAATTAAAAGAAACTTACCAGATAAGTACGAAGTCCTACCCTTAGCCCCCAAATAAGCATTTAAATAGAAAACAGAAACGATCTGACTTATATAGAAGTACATATGATTTTTTAATTAACTGCAAACCTAATAAAAGCCAGAAGAATGATCCATCTATTAAAAAAAAGATCACATTAGTTAAATGTCCTTATCAAAGGTGGTAATAATTACTGTCTATATAGTCTATACAGGTAAGGCAATAGCTGTGGCATTTGGGTTAATTTTGGACGTCTCGTTTTAAAGAGATATTAGCCAGCCATAGAACAGAGTGACTAGAATGTTTAAGGGTCTCAAAACCATGTTTGATGGTAATGAAAATAATAATAGCAACTGCCATGTATTGCAGCCCTATCGGGTGCTAGACTGCGTGGTAGACGCTGTACCTCAAATGGCTGCGAAGTTCAACATCTTTTACCTAACAAAGTTAAGGAGAGACTACCTCCCCGGCTACACTTCGAAGTCCTTGATGGCAGGGACTTTTGTATATAATTTCCAGATGATAATGAAGATGCTAAGAATGATAATGATAACTGCATCGCAATATTTGAGAAATGAATTATCAAGTGGCAGGGGGAAAAGATTATGCAGCTCCAGGGGAAACTAGATCAAATAGGCTGAAGTTACAGGGAGGCAAATTAAAGCTCATATATAAAAAAAGAAATTTCTATTGCATACCGTTGCTCAGAAATAGTACAGGAAGCCTTTTAAGGAGGACCATTTACAAGTAATCATTCTGTACCTAGTGCAGAAATCAAGACTTTACATGTTATTCTCATTTTATACATGAGGAGTTGAGATTCCAAATAAAAACTTGTGAAGTTCACACAACTAGGAAATGACAAAATTAAAGGTGACTGACTTCAAAGTCCATTTATTTTCACTAAATTACAATCTTCCCTATGATTGGAAATCCTACATGGCCATTGGCTAAATGTCCAACTCTTGAGAGCATTTCTAAGGGAATTCCTGCATCGGGTGAGGGTAGATCCCCACCTCTCTGACCCTTCAAGTGCTCAGTATCAGTGAGCCTGTTTGTCAAGTAGTAAACCTTCTTAAGAATGAATGTTTAACGATCTGCTTCATAAAACCACAAAATAATAGGACTACTGATAACATTTTAAGTGAATCTAAAGAGACCAGTTTGAGTTGAGGAACCGCTAGACGCTCTCAGTGAGGAACACTTGCTAATTCATCCTGAGTTTCATTGGGAAAGCATGTCATTGGCCTCCTAATATAATTGCTTCCAGGCAAGTTCATTTACTTGCTACTCTATTTTATTGTGAAGCATCACGTGGCACATTTTACAGGTGTACCGCTGGCAAAGAGAAAGTGCAATCCATGTCACAACATAGCTATGTACCTTTTTATCTGTTATGAACCGTCAGCCTGGGCTGGAAGAAAGGCAAATACGTGGAAGCAGAGAAAAGCAGACATTTATGGAAAGTCCGATATATTCTAGACACAGTCTAGAGATTAGCTCATTCAAAGAGAAGCAGGAGGAATACTAGGAACTCGGGTGTCAATCTAACAAGTAGCCCAGCTATGGGGGATTGTGAAGAGACTGGCCCAAGCCCAGCAGACACTCTGCGCTGGAGTCGTGGGAACTATCGCTGGGAAGGAAGCTGGAAGAAGCCCACGGAGGGGCTTGGATTCTGAGCAGGGCTTTGAGACTTGGTGTTGTGGGCATGAGGGGTGATGCTGCATTCCTGAGTGGAAGGCTGGAACAGGAGAGCATATGGGGACCATGTTCCCTCTATGTTAGGAAGAAGTTGAAGCTGCAGTATAAAGAAGAGGGGAGGTGGTTTTTAGAAAGGTGTCTCCTCCTCTGAGATTGACTGGAAGGATAGTAGGAAAGATATTAGTAATAATAAGGAAAACAAAGCACTTACTGTGCCAGTGTCCTAAGTGCTTTAGGTATATTCACTCGTTTATTTTTACAACAATTTTATGAAATAAATACTATTATTATCATCAACCCCATCTTCCAGATGAGAAAATTGAGGCTTCTAAATGCAATTAGCCTAAGATCACACGGAGAAGATGCCTAACTTTCAGTACGTGGTCACCTGACAGCCGTGTTCTAATGACCAATAACAGTGAATTTAAAGGATTATTTGATGATAGTGTCTGATACAATCTAGCTGGCTCACTCTAGTTCCCAGCTTGAGCAGATTGTTCTCAGAAGTGGCAGACACAACAAGGATGAGACTATGTTCCGTGGTCCACGAACGTGGATCACAACCTGATCTCCAATGTTGATGCCGTGTGCTCTTTTCCCCTAGAACCTGAGGAATCTAGGATAGACCTTTTCAAGTCTTAAGATTATATTTTTATTCTAATAAAAACAAAACTAGGTGTGTGGATTATATCAGCAGTGGGTTTATTTGTAAACGTTATAAATTGCTCTCCACACACATGGCGTACCATATGTGTACTTTTCCCCCACCAGGGGCTCAAGATCTGGATCGCATCCGGCTCTCCACCTACAGAACAGCATGCAAGCTTAGGTTTGTTCAGAAGAAATGCAATTGTGAGTATGCTCGTTGTTTGCACTAATTACCATCATGAATCCTATAGTTTACATTTAGTACTAAGTTTATTAAAACTAAGTTTTCTTACAAATTGATAAAAATATGTTTATGCAATACAAGGAATACTAAGTTCATTAAAACTAGGCTTTCTTACAAATTGATAAAAATATGTTTACACATAAAAGGGGTATTATGATACACACATGGTAGAGAGATTGCTGGTAAGTAATCCTGAAATCTGAATTACACTTAACTATTAAAGTATTGAAATGGATGAGTCTCTGGTTGTACATGCATTATAATCTTGGCCTTCAAACGGTTTAAATCTAGATGAGTGTTTTTCTTCCTTTCTCTAACCTTGGTATTGTAAATGCAGTGCCATCAAAATGGTTTCCAAGAACTATATAAAATATCAAACATTACATCCCCCTTATATTTGTATTTTCTTTACAAGTATAGGAAAATGTTTACAAGCTTTTGGAAAACATTGAAGTATTTTTTTCTGAAACTACAAAATTAGCCCTTTGTATCAGAGTATGAACTACATTTGCCTACATCAGACAAGAGTACAAGAAGAGACGATATTTAAAGAAACAAAGGAAGTTGCTTTAGCTTTTTTCCAAATTTTAAATTTAAGCAGTGAGCTAGATCACGAATCACAATGGGGATTTTACATTCCTGCTGGGTCAATGCTTTCATCATATTACCACATCCATTTCTCTTGGAAAAAAAAATATTGCTTCATAGTTCATGTGTAAGAGCTTATTCTTTTTTGAAAACTGACTGCTATAAAAATTAATGACTCTTCTCCTTTTCTAATTAATATTGGATGAATTTTTTAAAATAAAAACCATGATGTTCTCTTGAGTACGTGCACATAGTTCTTGAATAACTGGCATAGGAATCAGACTCTTGGCGAACGGAGGAACCTGGCATCTCTACGTCTACCCTCCTGGAGTCTTCGGCGGATGTTTGCCAGGCCCTGCGCAGGCCACCCCAGCCCCAGACTTCTGGATTTATAGCTAATTGTGACGGGGAAGACAGGCAGTGTGTGGTACTCCTCACGTTGCTCATCTATGGCTTATTCTTCAGCCCCAACAACTAAAAATGGGACCGAAGTTTGGGGCAGGAGGGGAAGAGAGAAAAACATAGTTTGGTTGTCTTAGTCCATTTTCTACTGTTTATAACAGAATACCTGAAACTAGGTAACTTATAAAGAAAAGGAATTTACTAATATTTCTCATGGAGACTGAGAAGTCCATGGTCGAGGCGCTGCATCTGGTGAGGACCTTCTTGCGAATGAAGACTCTCTGTGCAGAGTTCCAGGGCATCACATGGGCAGGGGGCCGAGCGTGCTAACTCAGGTCTCTCTTCCTCTTATAAAACCACCAGTCCCACTGCCATGATAACCCATCGGTCCATGAATCCATGAATGCATTAATCCATTCATAAGGGCTTTGCCTCTTAAAGGCTCCACCTCTCAACACCGCCGCATTAGGGATCGAATTTCAACATGACTTTGGGAGGGGACAGATATTCAAACCACAGCATTGGTCAAACAGGAAATATGTGTTTTGACTCCCCACAGAAAGCTCAATCAATCCAAAAAGAACAGTGAGAAAAGTACTACAGATGTTAGGGAGAATTTGTGGCTATATTTGTAGTCCTGGGTATCAATGAGTCAATAAAAGCCCCTTCCAGTGCTGGTGCTAGGGAACAAGGAAGAGTTCCCTCTTCCCGCCATCACCCATATTAAAACAAAAAGAAGAATCTTCATGTTTTGGGCAATGAAAAGGCCTGGGATTCTCCCATGTTCTTGTCATGTATTACCACTACAGTGGCCCCCAAAATTGGAGAGAGGGTATAGGGTAAGGGCGGCAGTTCTGTCCCCTTTAAAGCTTTGCCAAGCAGAACCTTCCCTAGGCTCCTTTCATCTGAGCTACAGATTTAAAAAAAAAAAAAAGAAGAAGAAAGAAAAGAAAACTACAAAATGGTAAGAAGGAACAAAAAAATAAACAAGAAAAAAATGAAGAAGAAAAACGATTCAGTGATTTGGTAGCCCTGAAGCCAACATTAAAGTGCACACACTGTGTTGTTCCTGTCTCTGGGATGCACCAGCAACCCACGGGCCTGATTCCATTCCTCCTGCTCTTGGAGAAAGGCCCTTTCTCATTCATGAGCATCTCCTTTTCCTCTTCCTGTTCTTTTTTGGCCCTCTTTCTTATCTTGTATCCAGAATTGTCTCAGAAATTCTTAAAAATCAGTGGGTAAGAAGTGAGGATGATAATCCATCCCTGCGTGAAAATAGAACCTTTATACCTGTCCAGGGGACCCTCAGCGTGTCCATTCACTTACTCTAAATTTAGTGAGTATGTAATGAGCTCCTGCTGTACGTTCAGCACTGCACTGGGTATCAGGGGTAGTGTGATGGTGAATAACATGCAATCCTTGCCTTCAAGTTGCTCAAAATCTAATTGGGTAGATGGACTTTTGAACAGATTTGTTAAAACGTGTAGAAGGGTGTTGATAGGAATAGGTACATGGTGTGTAGGAGCCCTGGGGAGGCAGTCTTCTGACCCAGGGGCTGGGAGCCTCTGGGAAGACTCTCCTGGAGGAGAAGACATCTGAGCTAAGCCTCAAAGAATTAGTAGACATTAAGCAAAGAAGTGCTATTCGCTTTACAATGTACCTTATAAAATTTACTCATATTAGGATGAGAAAAAGTATTACATTTTATATAAAATGGATGAAGTTAAAGCTCATGGTAGAAAAACAAGCATAGTTTTAATGCTCTGCTAAATTAAGTTTCTTTTTAAAATTGTTTCTACCTTGATCAGAGCATTAAATGCAAGTACTGTGTGTGTTTGCTGAGTTTTCCTTTCTACCATTAACTATAACAGTTGTGATGTTCGGAAGAAATTGTAAAATGCTTGCACAATGGATCTTGGCTTATTGGAATGAAAGTTGAAGCCTTCCTGTTAGGAAGTTAACCAACCAGAAGCAGTGGTGTTTATGTGACATAACTCGAGTCAGCATTAAATATACATCCCTATATTAGAGGGAGATAATTTTAGTCTGCAATAAAACCTCACCCACAATAAATTATGGTACCTTATAATGGAGTTTTACTCTTCAATAAAAGACATTTCTAAATCCAGGTAATGCATTTTTAAGTGCATTGATTTATTGGAAAGTGTCTTAGTACATCCTAGAACATTTGGGCTGCTATAACAAAAATACAATAAACCAGATGGCTTGTAAACAACACTTATTTCTCACAGTTCTGGAAGCTGGAAAGTCCAACATCAAGGTATAGCAGATTCGGTGCCTGGTGAGGGCCTGCTTTCTGGTTCATAGATGGCAACTTCTCACTGTGTCCTCCCAGGATGGAAGGAACAAGGCAGCTCTCTGGGGCCTCTTTTATAAGGGCATGAATCCCCATCACGAGGGCTCTGTCCTTACGACCTAATCATCTCCTAAAACCTCCCCCCTCCTAAAGCCAATACAGTGGGGGATTAGATTTCAATACATGAATTTGAGGAGGACACAAACATTCAAACTATAGCAAAAACTCATTATAGCATTTACTTCATAGAAATCAATGGATCTGAATTCAGAATAGGTTGTTCATTTTCAGGCCTAGACCTAATTTACAGGCAAAATTTATTTTGTATATTTTGTTAATAATATAAACTAATAATGTAAACTAAGCTTAAAAACTACTTAATGGAGTAGGAGAAAACATAAAAACTGGCACTTGTAAAGTCATCACCTAGAAAAAATAAATATTGTCTGGATATAGCATGGAGGTTTTAGATTTCTTTTTTATCTAAATTCAAAGATCATAAATGTTAGTTAATTCCCCCTTGTTCATTCTCCCCAGCCCCTGCCTACCATGTTTACAGTCTCCAATATAGAGCATTGGTTCCTATCACTGACATTCATGTTCATTCTCTTTGATTCGATTCCTGGTGGATGCTGAGAATAACCAATTCCAAGACTTCTAGAAGGATCCAAAACAGGAGGCCAGAAAACTGTGGCCCATGGACTAAATGAGGCCCAGCACTTATTTTTGGATAGACCATGAACTAAGAAGAGTTTTTACAGATGAATATTTATAATCGATTTGATAATAGGGAATGCTAACTTGTAACCTCAATTAAGCAAAATGTATACTCCAAAAAAGAATTACATTCTTCTCATTGGTAAGCCAGCATTTTTTAAGTGTACTCAATTATTATATATTTAATTTCATCAGGAAGAATGTTGTGGAAATTACTTTTCTCCCTTGTTATATACTTTGCTGATATAATATCCTTGATTA